TAACAGTGCCACACACACACACACACACACACAGTACACTGCGGACTGGAGACAGAAACACCAAAGAAATGGCTGTTAGTCACCTCACCTGTCTAACAATAACAATAGCTTACGTTTTATTGGGTGTTAGCAGTAGCTTGATTTATTCAGACTCGGCTTTGATTGTCTCGGCGTTTACAATCAAAGTGCCAAAAAAATAGCAACAACAATAAAACTGACTGTTTGGGAAAGAGTGATGATAAAAGAAAATGACAACACATTTCTGTGAAGTTCTTCTGTTTAGTGACACTCGAGAGGATGAAGGAAAAGATGTTATTAATGTTGTCGCTCTGTAGAACAGTTTATGGGTTGTAGAGGAGGCTGGAGGTCTGTGGTGCTTCAGCGGTTTTCACTGATTTCTTTACAGCCACATGAGCCCTTACTGGTGAAAGGATATTAGTCATCTGGATTGGTGGCCTTTCCCAGAATTACTTTTACTTTTAGAAGGACATAGCAACAAACAACTGGAGGCATACATTGATCTGACTTTGCTGCCTCCATAGTAGATAGTGGGAACAAGAAAGGAAGGAACGATGTTAGCTTTTAATGACCATTTATGTTCCCACATGATCCAAAACAGACTCGAGCAATCATCCTCATTTTACTCACTACTTGCGTACATGGATGAAAAAAGTAAGGCAGATAGAAAGATAGAAAGTGTGTGTGTGAACCGCCAATTTAGCGCGTTCCCCTGCTTGAGCAGGAAGTGAACAGAGACCTGGTCCACAGGGATCCCCGTTTCCCCTTCTTGCCTTCTCCATTCCCCCCCAACTCAGGACTCCACCGTGATGGGGGAGAGCCTGGCAGGGAGCTACAGTGTGTGGTGTTTGTGCTCTGTGTGTGTATGTGTGTATGTTAATTTCCTGTTTTATAGAGGAAGCAGTGTTCGCATGTACAGATCGTTATTCAGATTTTGTCTGTGAGAAAAAAAAAAGATTGTGTCAATTCTCATGAATTTGTATGGGAAACAACTAGCATTGTTTCTGGGAAGCTGCCCTACTCTCAGTAAAAACATATTTTGCTCCGCTTGTAAAGTGCAAATGCAATGTCTAAATCAAACTCTGAAAAGCATTTCATTTCATTATTCCAGTCAACGAAAAATCCTAAAACACTACCAGCTATTATCCTCTCATATCAAATGTTCTACTTTCTTTCCTTAACTAACTAATCAAATTAAGGCCAGATTGGTTAGACACAGAAAGCTGCGGTCATTATGCAATGACAAGAATCTGCATCCAAGCCATTAGGGCATCTAAATGAAAGTTAGCTGCTGTGGTCTCAGCCAGAATACCCTCTAACCATGGTCTGGGCCACAGGTCCACCATGCAGTGGTCCGTTGGGTTTCAACAGAAATGTATAATGGCCCTTTTCTGGTTTTGACTCATTTACAGGTCTTGGTTTCCGATGACGTGATAAGTGGGGAAGGACGACTCAGTTCAGCAGAAGATTGTTTAGAACGTTGTCACTTATCAGCACTATCAGGAAGCTTCTTTGTATGACTGTTTGTCAGGTACTGATTCTTCGAATTGCTACTGCAAATAAATATCCTACAAGCTACGCAGTCTAGAAATCTCATTTAAAATAATTTCTAAATTAGTGGGATGGGAAAATAAGAGAGGATTTCTCGCTTCCAATAGAAAGCAGTTCACA